CAGAAAGCTAGTAATCCACTGACAGGTGTGGGCAGTCACAGTGAGCTGGGTCAGTTTGGAGTGGAGGGTGTTCAGGGCCGAGCTGAAGTCCACAAAGAGGGGCTGTGCATAGGTCCCTGGGAAGTCGAGGTGTTGCAGGATGTAATGCAGTGCCACGTTCACTGCATCGTCCACTGACCTGTTTGCCCGGTAAGCAAACTGCAGGGGGTCTAGCTGGGGGTCTAGGATGTCCTTCAGGTGGGCCAATACTGGTCTTTTGAAGGACTTCATAACTACAAATGTCAGCGCAACAGGTCTGTAGTCGTTCAGTCCACTGATGGAGGTTTTCTTGGGGACTGGAATGATGGTGGGGCGTTTGAAGCAGGAGGGGACTTCACACAGCTCCAGTGACCTGTTGAAGATGATTGTGAAGATGGGGGCTAGCTGATCAGCACAGGGTTTCAGGCAGAGGGGGGTCACACTGTCTGGGCCTGGTGCCTTTCTGATCCTTTGTTTTTTGTAAAGGCCACACATATCCTTTTCACAGATCTTCAGTGGTGGGGGGCTGGAGGGAAGGATGGTGATCATGGGGGAAGCAGTTGCTGGGTCTGAGGTGGGGAGAGTGAGGAGGGAGTGTTGATTCTCAAACCTTCAGTAGAACACATTCAGGTCATCTGCTAGTTGACGGTCCTCCACAGCAGGTTTTCAGGCTCCCCCACACAGACGAGGGATCGTTGGCTGAAACCTGAGCTTTCAGTTTTTCAGAGTAGCTCTTTGCTGCTCTGATCTCCCTTGTCAGTGTGTTCCTGGCCTGGCTATACAGAGTTCTGTCCCCACATCTGTAAGCCTCCTCTTTGGCACGACGAAGCTGCTTGAGTCTTGTTGTAAACTAGGCACACACACACACAGAAGCTGATATAAGATGTCACAGTGTCAGTGAGTTCATCCATACAAAAATCGGAGAAGGGTAGTTCGGTGTGAGTTGTCCAATATTTAACACAGTTCTTCTCTGGTAAAAGTAATCCGGGATGGGTTGCAAAAGACTGAGAAAACAAAGAAAAACGCACACACACACACGAGAGCACGAGTAACCAAGGCTGCCATCGCTGTCGGTGCTGTCTTTATCTGGAGAAGTTACTATGTCTGCATTATGCCAGTTAAAATATGGGGTTTCTCAGTTACCCGCTTTGTTTAGAGTGTTACACATCTCTTTTCATTGGTACATATACCGTTGTTTACCTATCTATGGAGGAGACAGTCAAATTAAATAATGCCTTTGCGGATCGTCCTGCTGTCCACTTGCGACACACCACCGGCAACAGAAGCCGCGCATGTTCACGAACTGCCCTCTGGTTTTTAGAAAGAGGCTTTCTGTTGTTAACATTCTGAAATAATTACAGTCTATTTGTGGTTATGATGGGTGTAAATGCTAATCTAGAGGTAGCTGAAATTAAACATTAAATGGCTGGAAACAAGTTAAAACAAACAAACAAAAAGAACAAGGAACAGTAAAAGTGAAACATCTCACCAAGCTTTCGTTGCTTACCTGTGTCTCAAAGATAAATGCTTCCAGGCTGTTAAGTGCCTTTTCCCTCTCCTGTTTGGCCAGGTCTCTGTCTGTCAAATCTTGCAGCCTAAAAGGAAGCAAAGACTGTTTTAGCTGATAAAAACAAACAAGAGTCAAAAGGAAATGAAGATTGCTACTTTACTTCTTTTTAGAGGAAGTGACTTCGTCTGCAGTGGGATCGAGGATGTCCTTGATGACTAGTTCCACCATGATATCTTCAGAGATCTTGCTCTTCTTCTGAGGTTTTGCCTTCTTCTCTGCATCTTTGTCAGGCTCAGCACTTCTAGTTTTATCTCCATCCTTTTCCTCCTTCAACAGCAAAGATTGAAAAATGTAGAACCATCACCGTCTACATTAACTCTGACTTTTTTTTAGTGCAATGTTTCTCAGAGAGATGCAACACATCTTACCTTGGCATCAGTCTTGCTGCCTGCTTCCTCTGTCTTCTCTTGGCCTTTCTCTTCACCTGCACTTTTCTCTGAATCATCCGGATTCTCCTTTGGAACCTCATCCTTCTGGCTCTCATCCTTCTCATCCTTTCCAGAGTCTGGAGGCACTTCCTCCTCATCCTGGACATGGCAAATCAAAGGGAACAATGTTAGCTACGAGCTCAGGCCAGGCATGCATGAAATATCCCGCCTGATGCTTTTGAGTGTAAACTGACTGTGACACCGTGTAGCACCACTGATGCAGCTGCAGTTACCTGGACAGGTTCAGTTACATTTGGAGCAGGTTCTGAGGATCCTCCTCCAAACAGGGTGGAAATTGTATTACCCAGTTCTGAAAGACACAAAGTATTGGCTCAGCTAAATAATGAGGAGTCCGATATGCTGTAATACACGTAGGGCTGCATGATATAGTGTCAGGTGACAATGACTGTCGTGTTTGCATTAGCACCAAACTATGCGCTCCCTTTTCCTCGCTAAGCTGCATTAACCAATAAGTACAAAGTGATTTATTTCTGCCTCAACTGCTATTCGGTACTAGGTGTAGGCAGCGCAATGTTTGAAAAATACTCGCAGGAGGGCACAGAATATCTTTCACCATGTCATACATGTTAGATTTGTTTTTGAAAGCACCTTCTCTTCCTGTCTATAGCTTGTCACATGACAACATTTTTTGCATAGAGTTTGGATGGCTAAGGTTACAGATGTGTATTTGCAAAACCTACTAGTTAATGTGGATTCCTCTTCTTTCTCCTCCACATTGGTTTCAAAGACAGACTCCACCTGGATGAAAATAAAGAAATGTTAGCCTGGTTAACTAGTACAAATAAAAACTGTATCCCATGGACCTTGTGCAGGTGATTATTTGATTAAGGATGCATAACTCCTCAGATCTTTGTTTTTCACTTTGATTAATCCTTTAGTTAAGCACATTTTTTTAAAGTCAGCAAGTGTTGGCTTTGATTTCAATCAGCCTCACTGGCCACCATGGCAACCAGGTCACACACAGCCCAAGTGTAAACCAATACGTCTTACATAAGAGAGGAGTATAACCCATTATCCACATACAGTGGTTTTCCTTATATAGCTGTGGAAAATGACACTACCTAACAGATGTGTGCCGTTAGCCACAGAATGCTGTTTCTGTTAGAAGAGCACATTAGAACTGTTTCTCAGCATTATGGCTTTGATTGTCTGAATGCTCACTGAGGAAGCTGAATCAATGTAACTAACCCGATCCAGCAAAAGCACTCCACTTTCATCCATGTTGAAATGGGCTTTAATGCCTTTTGACTCGGCATCCTCATGCATCTGGAAGCTGCTGCCCACACCAGACAGTTTGACTGTGGTCAGGTTCAACGCGCCAAACACACTGCAACACACGGACAGCAAGGAGACAGGACAACATATTGGAAATAATAAGGAAATACAGACATGGGTCAAAGAGAGAACTTGGAACGAATCACACATTTAAGTCTTTTTTGACTAGACATTTATGGCTTTCATTTGTCACCATTTCAGTTTTTTTTTTCCTAAACTCCACTTTCTTGTAGTTAAGGAATGTCGGGACCAAGGTTGAACTGCTTCCATTTCCATGCTCCAGGAAGCAATAAGTTCAAAAGTATGCAAAAATCCTACCTCAGTTCATCCTGACTGAGGAAGCTGAGGTCACCGTAGTTGATGTCAAAAGCAAAGTCATCATTGTAGCGGTTGAATGTAATGACCTTGCGCTGGGGGTAGGGCGCCATCCTCTGGAAGAGGATACGTTTGTTTTGTTTCAGGGTTTTGATCCCGTCTTCCTCCATCTCACGGCTGAACTCCACCTGATGGAAATAAATACTTGATGGTAACATGGCTTATAACAGTGCAACAGTGACAATGCATGGCAGCTTACTTTAATTTTAGATTCAGTGTACAAATGAGGGATACCAATTCAAAGACAACATATACATTTGTGATAACCAACATCACCTCAACAGTTGGCTGTTAGTAAAGAGCACATGACCACAAGCAAAACCAAACATTACTATGGCTTTCTATAGTGGCCGTTATTCAAATTCATCTCCAATAGCCTGAGGCAGTAAATGAGCGCCCCTGACCTGAATGGGGAACACTGCTGCATCTCGAACCAGGAAGGGCTTGACCTTAAAGGCTTTGCTAAGGGCAGCAGCCTGGTACACAGCACCCATTGCTGCTGCCTCATCTGCATTGATGTTCTTCCCCAGCTCCTCTCTGGAAACAAACACACAATTTACAAATGCAGGTACAAAAAGAAAAAACAAAATGTGGCATCAAAGTTCAAGTTGCAGATGAACGGAGTTCTTTATTAACCTTTTTGAAATAGAAAGTTTTTCAAATCACAGCAACATCTCTTTGGTTGTCACTTACTTCCCCACAGCTTTGAGAAGCACTTCCTGAACCCTGGGGACACGGGTGGAGCCCCCTACTAAAATCACCTGCTCAATTTCATCCTGTTGGCAGAAATGTAAGAACTCAGAGTCAGAAAGCTCCATTAACTAACACTAATAAAATGATCTTGTCCTACAGTAATATCAGTCATGCTGTCTAATTACTTCCTAAGTGGAGGCAACATGTATTCTGTTGATGGATTTGTACTCCGTTTGACAGGCACCACTAGAAGTAGTCAATGCAATGTGTGTCAAACTCCAGTTTGTTTTCTAATCAAGGATTTTATCTTTTCGTTTAACACTGATTTTCATGACAATATTTTAATTAAACAAAGGAAAGACAACAAATAAATGTGCTGAAAAGGCCACGTTCTCAGCATGATTTATGACATCACAACTAGTATGGATGCCAATGACCCTAACTTGCACAAATGTGATATGGAAACATGAAACCCACAGTACAGAGCAGAGACTGGAAGACAACTTGTGTCCAGCAACTGAACTTCTGAGGGACTAATCTCTTTGGTGGGGAAACAAACTATAACCATGTAAAACTTGCAAAGGCATGAGGTGGTGATACTGACCAGCTTCATTTCTGCGGCAGTGAGGGCGTCCTGCACTGGGCGAGGCACTCTTTCAAAGAGATCAACACACAGCTCTTCAAACTCGGCCCTGGTCACCTTGGCTTTAAAGTCAATATCATCCATCAAACCTTCCACCTGAAAGAACACTTTGTTCACTGCACTGGTAATGCACCCAGATATTACGATTATCTGGACAATAAACAGCAACATTTCTAAAACCTTAAATCATTTCATTTAAATAATAATTCACAATGCTCACAATTGTATTTTAAGCTATCAAATTAATTAAGATGCTGCAGATGGTTCCAACATTACTGCATCAGGCACCACCACTGAGATGGACTGAGGCCCAACAGTCCACGTCACTGAACTCACCTGGGCCATAAAGTCTACATTTGCACTGAGCACTGTTTTGAGCCTCTGAGCCTCTTTGAGGAGTTTTGCCATGGCCCGGGGGTTCTCCCTCACATCCTTCTTGCTCTTCTTCTGGTTGTTGAACAATTTGGCCAGGTGGTCCCGGAGTCGCAGGTCCATCTCAAAGCCCCCTAGCCCACGGTCAAACCTAGAGCCAGAATATGATAAATACACTTTAGTCTTCAGTGCTTAAGAAGTATTTGTGAAGAGTGAATGACTATTTTTAAAACGCGTGTTTTTGAAATGGGCTGACAATCGAGAGAAGAATTTGGTTTTCCTATTCAGACACACTTGAGGAAAAACAGACACCCACACAAAGTACAGTATCTCTTTAAGCTTTAAGGAGGTGGCTGGCTCAAAGGTAAAGCGGGTTGTTTCCTATGCAGAAGGTTGGCAGTTTGATTCCTGGCTTCTCCAGTCAAAGTGTCCTTCAAACTGAACCCCAAGTTGCTCCTGATGACGTCACCGATGTGTAAATGGACAAATTGCATGCAAGTGTTTTCAGTGTGCAGCTTATCAAGGAAAAGGGAGCGCTTGGTTTGATGCAGGGCATCACTGTGCTAATGCAAACACGGCAAAATCATTGTCACATGAGACCGAGATCGCACGGGGATCTAAAGCATGCTCACAAAACAGTTTATCGTGCAGCCCTAGATGAAATATTTCCATTTATTCATATTATCCATTTCCCATCTATTCATCCGTTTCATCCTTTCACTTGTTTAATATTGATACTTCAGGACTATTTACCCAAACAAGAGGCTACACTACACTGTGCAATTATACACACACTTTCCATATTTTATACTCTATCTTGACGTTGGAGGATTTTGCATATTTTAAAAGCTCTTTGAAACAACAGACCTGAGAGGTCGTCTCACTGAACAGATTTAGGCCTTTACTGGCACAAGCATTTTTAGTAGAAAACTCACCCAACACCTCGGATCTGTAGCTGGGGCTGGGTGCCAGACTCCTTGGTCTTGACTGTCTGATAAGTGACGATGGTGGCTGTAGTGCTGCCCGAGCCCATATCATAAAACATCACATTCTGAAAGGAAGCAAGATGAGACTGTCAGTGATTTCGTAGTCCGTTGTAGCTAGCTAGGCACTTCCTACACTGTTACAAATACATTCATGTCAGTGTAACCTAAATATAAAGCTACTTTACAGTGTGAACAATATTAAGTATCACCTGCTTATCAAATAATTCTCTGGCAAACCAACAATTTAAGGATAAAGGCTACCATTAATTTATATTTCTGTTATTATCAACAAATCCCTTGAAAAGACCAAGACCAACAATGTCTATCTCGATACTCTGACTTTCCTACTGTCTGTCACTCTCGGCTCCAGGTCCCCTGATTCTGACATTTATAAACTGAGACAAAAAGTGTCATTTATAAACTGCTCACAATGGGGTTAAAAAAAAAAAAAATTTCCAAAAAAAAAAAAAAAAAAAAACTGGGGTAATCACTGTACCAAGTGTAAGCAAATGTTACTCCAACGTTAATCCACTTTCAGTGCTCCAGTGAGTATTTCTAGCAGATGGACAGTGTATGTGGGAGTTAAGCCAAACTAAACTACAGTGTGTGCATGTATGTTCATACTAAATGAGTGTCACCCAGTACAACAGTGTGCCTCGCTGTTGTGTGTTTAATAATTTTGGATCAACAGTGGAGCTCCGTGGCACAGAGGAGTGAGACAAATCAGACTTTGGAAACACACAGTGCTAGTTAATATTCATCGTTGATGTGGGTCTGCACATGGGATTTGTCGACTGCAAGTTGAACACAGAATATCACCAGTCTGATTCTTCAACATGTATAAAATAAAATGCTGAATGAGCACCTTAGCTGTGTTATCTATATCTTTTCTTCTGAAGACCCCATAATTCAAGGCCACAGCTGTGTTGTCATTGATGAGCTGAAGCACCTTCAGACCTGCCATCTGTGCAGCCTGCAGGACTGCCCTGCGCTCTGCCTGATTGAAAAAGGCTGGGACGGTGATCACTGCATCTTTGATAGGTTGTTCTGTGAATTGGAAAGATTGAGAGGAGGCAGAAAAAAAAAAAAAATCCATGTTTCACATATGTGAGAAGGTCATATAGCGAAGCATCTTTTTGCTCAAGCCAACTAACCTGCAAAGTCCTGAGCCAGTCCACGAGAATAATTGAGCACCATCCCGAGGAGCTCCTCAGGGCTGTACTGCATTTCTCTGGCAGAAGAAAAAGCAGAGAGCAAGGTCAGATGAATCTGAACAACAGTGCCGTTTCCTTTTATAATCTATTGATAACGTGTTTTACAGATGGGACTCCAGGACCGATGTTTCCATGACAACCGTTATAATACATATCTCTAAGGATCCCCAACAATCAGTAATAAACAAATGTGTTTCAGATGTGAACACCATACCAAATGTCTATACTGTAGGGCACAGCCTAATATAGCATATTATTGTATATACCACGTAGAGACTAAACGACAAACTAATCATGCTTTGAACTTTTGAGGTCAGGGCAATCGCATGCAAACTATTTGAAGGCTCAGTAGTTCAGATAAACGGACAGAAGAGTTGACATACATCATTAACTGTATGACAAGAAATGTGAAGCAGGAAACTCACTCAGAGCTTTTAAAGCAAACGGTGCCTCTCGTTGGGTCCTCTTGCAGCTGGTGCTCAGGGAAACGTTTCTGATAGAGCGCCACCTGGGGGTTGTCATGCTTTTTGCCCAGCAAGCTTTGCAGGTGCCTATAAACTGTTTTGGGATTCTTCACAGACTGAAATGTACACAGTAGGACCATTAATTGCATAAAAGGAAAATACATATACATCTCATTTTGACTTTAAAGTGTTTTTAACTTGGCTTTCCGTTAACTGAAAATGATATTCATCAGATTAAGCTCGCTTTCTATCAAGCTCAGTTTAGGAAATTTGAGAAGCCATACCACTCCCAGTGCACCATCTCCAAAAAGTCGTTCATTTTCCTTGAGACAAACAACTGTGGGTGTTTTCCTCCTCGACTCCCTGAAGAAAAACATAGACATCAACTCTGAAATGTTGTTTCATGCTGTATTATTTTGGCTTGCTTTTGGACTTTGGTTTTTAGAAATTTAACATGCTGTAAAAGGAAACAAAACTTGGTGTTTGCATTTTCCCCAGTTATATTTCCCCTAACATACAAACCTGGCATGTGCACTTACTCTACTGCAAATGAAGACAAACACACAGTTACACTCACTTGTTGAGAACAATCTCCATTGGCACACCAGGTTTTACTATGGCCATTTTCATCCACTCACTGCCTAGATCAACTGACATGACAGCTACGGTCACTGCAAACAAAGATGTGCTACATTAATGTGAGAAACTGCACAGGTTGCATTATTCACCCATCTTATCTGTTTCACTGATCAATAGCCGCATGTCTTTAACAGTATGGAAGTGTTGGAGCTAAACGGCCAGTGTCTTTAGCAGGTAATCCCTCTTGGCTGACAGCACTGCAATCAGGGCTTTATATTAGAAAAAGTATGTCTGTGTAAGCTGATGCATTGTGTATTACCTGTGTGAGAAGGCAGCAGAGCCAGGACAAGGCAAAAGAGAGCAACCGGCACTAGCTTCCTACCCCCCATGATGTGCTATAAAGACAAACAAATTAAACATTTGTGAACCCCAGATTTTCAACTGAATAGCCCTTTACAAGTCCTTACTTGTCCTAACCTTGGCCACATCTGCCTTGTGTGTCAAAGCCTCAGCTAAGAAATGCATCTTACAGGAACTTCATCACCATCAATGCCACACACACTTATCTTGGTTCTATTTACTCATCATGTAAGAGCAGGTGCAGCCGCCATGAGGAACAGGATTATCTCCTACATGAAAAGTCAAACCTGCTCGTTTTGCATGTACAGTGGGTATGGAAAGTATTTAGACCCCCTTAAATTTTTCACTCTGTTATATTGCAGCCATATGCTAAAATCATTTAAGTTCATTTTTTTCCTCATTAATGTACACATAGCACCCCATATTGACAGAAAAACACAGAATGTTTGACATTTTTGCAGATTTATTAAAAAAGAAAAACTGAAATATAACATGGTCATAAGTATTCAGACCCTTTGCTCAGTATTTAGTAGAAGCACCCTTTTGAGCTAATACAGCCATGAGTCTTTTTGGGAATGATGCAACAAGTTTTTCACACCTGCATTTGGGGATCCTCTGCCATTCCTCCTTGCAGATCCTCTCCAGTTCTGTCAGGTTGGATGGTAAACGTTGGTGGACAGCCATTTTCAGGTCTCTCCAGAGATGCTAAATTGGGTTTAAGTCAGGGCTCTGTCTGGTCCATTCAAGAACAGACCCGGAGTTGTTGTGAAGCCACTCCTTCGTTATTTTAGCTGTGTGCTTAGGGTCATTGTCTTGTTGGAAGGTGAACCTTCAGCCCAGTCTGAGGTCCTGAGCACTCTGGAGAGGGGGGCTGCAGTGATGGTTGACTTTCTACAACTTTCTCCAATCTCCTGACTGCATCTCTGGAGCTCAGCCACAGTCATCTTTGGGTTCTTCTGTACCTCTCTCACCAAGGTTCTTCTGCCCTGATAGCTCAGTTTGGCTGGATGGCCAGCTCTAGGAAGGGTTCTGGTCGTCCCAAACGTCTTCCATTTAAGGATTATGGAGGCGACTGTGCTCTTAGGAACCTTAAGTGCAGCAGAAATTTTTTTTTGTAACCTTGGCCAGATCTGTGCCTTGCCACAGTTCTGTCTCTGAGCTCTTCAGGCAGTTCCTTTGACCTCATGATTCTCATTTGCTCTGACATGCACTGTGAGCTGTAGGGTCTTATATAGACAGGTGTGTGGCTTTCCTAATCACGTCCAATCAGTATAATCAAACACAGCTGGACTCAAATGAAGGTGTAGAACCATCTCAGGGATGATCAGAAGAAATGGACAGCACCTAAGTTAAATATATGAGTGTCACAGCAAAGGGTCTGAATACTTATGACCATGTGATATTTCAGTTTTTCTTTTTTAATAAATCTGCAAAAATGTCAAAACTTCTGTGTTTTTCTGTCAATATGGGGTGCTGTGTGTACATTAATGAGGGAAAAATGAACTTAAATGATTTTAGCATATGGCTGCAATATAACAAAGAGTGAAAAATTTAAGGGGGGCTGAATACTTTCCGTACCCACTGTATACCCAAGCTTGATCTCTATACAGGGATCTTCCACAACTTCAAACAGGAATAGATACACAAATACAAGTGTTCAGTCACTTGCTTTCAGCTCTTTGGTGCTAATTTTGCAATGTTTACAGTGGATTGTGTCCAGGTAGCCGATATGTCAGCATCTAGTGCACCTGATCCAGCCCTCACAGGTGTTGACAGTCTCCAAACACGTGGCATTAACCGCTCTCTCTACAAGGAACCAGTGCAGTCAAGATAAAGTAGTTTTCGAATATTCACTCGTGAAAATGCCTCCTCGGGTGTAAACTTACAATTCAGATTGAACACATTAAAAAACGAACATCGTTTGTATTTAGAAAACAACATGCAAGTGTAGAAGCTTCTAGCCCGGTGAGGCAGTGACGCAGGAAAGCGGATATAGGAGCTCGAAACCCCGATTAAAAAAACACTTGTCTATTAGCTTTGAAAAATCGCTTGAAAGAACTGGCTAGTCAGAGAATAAGTAGCTGGTCTGTATCATACAGTTATGGTAATGTTATACGATACCTTTGTTAGCGTTACACCTTAACCAGTAGCTAAGTTAACCGCTCAATTCGAACACAACTGGACCATTTGTTTAGCTGGAAAAAACAGACCTGACAAAAGTTGACGGCTAAGGTTACTGTTGGCTAACACGCTGTCTGACAACCATCTAAAGCATGATAGGTGCACTGTGGTGTGGCATGAACTTACCTTTCCTCAAATGCGAAAAAAACAAAGTGTGAATGAGCTACCAACAGACTGCGCTTTTCCGGCCAGGCTCTAAGATCAGTTTGTCCTGAATGACCTTATCCCTTGATTTGGAACCTCTTTATTGTCACGTTTGGTAGTTTTTAGTTCCCCTTATCACCGGCTCGCTCTCAGCACTCGGGCCCGGAACGCGGCGTCACCTCATTGGATCCGCTCGAGCCGCTGCTAGGAGGACAAATACTG